TGTACCTCATATATAGACATTATTTGTACTTATTTTATTATCTGTACTTATTTGAGCTGAGTGGTTATGGGTTCATTAAGTACATGTGAGTTGGACAATGTAAGTGGTCAGGAACAAGATGTTTCCTGTTTTCGAAGTCCATCTCAGGGTGTTGTCTCCCGAAACTGGAGACAGGAAGCTAGGTTCAGAAATAGACGCAACAGTAGCTAGTGGCTGAGCTGATAAAGGAGTGAGCCTGAGGGAGCCAGGGAGAGAGAGGAGAAGGACCATGCTACCGTGAGCAGTGTACCACCAGCCTGGCCTTGGAGGGCTTGTGGGAGACGACGACTGACTGACTCGGGACTGGCAACCAATGACCTGACTGACTGGCGCTCTGACAACCTTCTTAGGCTTTACTTATTCCATTGCAAGAGGGGAGTCTCTGTTCCCTGATCTCTGTTCTCTGTTTCCTAACTACAAGATTATCTGTTTAAATGCTACTCTATTTAGAATAATTGTAATATTAAATGATCCTTTAAATTGTAGTGGTTTGTCTGAATTAATTTAGTTTGTATCTCACTCTTGCCACGACAGGAGGAAGCCAGCAGACCCACAGACTTTCAAAATAATGTTCAACATCAAATGCCACTGCGCGCTTCCACTGAAACTGAAAACAGTGGCACTTCATTAGTGGTCATCAAAGGAGGTATTTTAAAAACAGCAAATTTTCCAGGAAAAGAGGAAGACTGGACTAGGGCTCAAGAGTACCTCGACAATATCACCGCAGACTCTGGGGCTCCGCCCGTCTCTTGCTGTGACGAGCCCGGCACTTCCGGTAAAAATAGTGCACTGAGCTCAGCCAGCGTCAAAGATTTGCTAAAGGCATGTAATCCATCCGCTGGATTTCAGGCTTCCAGTCTTTCTAATGCACCTACTAAAAAGTACAAGACAAAGAGGGTTAACAGGGCAGTGCAGGCTGTAGACTCCAGTGCTAGTGATGAATCGGACACAGACCGTCCGTGTACTGCCGCTTTAAAACGCAGAGCTAGACGCGCACACCACATTCACAGCTGCATAGAGACAAATTTGTCACATCAAATCCCGCTTTTGGAAACACAAACAGCCTCTGGTGGAGTCACGGAGACGTACACTCCATTCACACTGCAGACTCCATTCACGTTGCAAGATATGTCAGCTATTAAGGGTCAGCTCCCACCGTTAGAAGAGGGCGGGGCACCCTGGATAAGAGCATTTCTCACTGCATGCTCTGGCTCACAGCCCGCTCTCGGTGATTTCAGGAGAATTTTCACGGCATGTAGCTCCTTAACCATGCTCCAAGAAGTTGAGGTTTTGGCTAACACAGACAGAGACGGTGATGCACTTCCACTTCATGTTGTTATACAAGATCTTTGGCTCGTAATCAGAATGAAATATCCACTGCAGGCTCCCACTGGCAAGCGCTCACACATGCCAGTGCAGAAGGGAGAGACAAGCAAGCAGTATTTGCTGAGAGTGAGGGAATTGTGGCATAATTACAGCGGGGAGGATCCCAGAGAGGTCCGCAGTGTTGAAGTACTATTCCGTAGTGCGGTCGAGGCCTCTCTTTCAGACAGAATACAACAATGGCTTAAACAAGTGATAGGCCTCATTGCCCTTCCGTTTGATCAATGGTCCGCCCACATCATTCAGTATGTTGATAATGACAAAGGTGACAGAGAACAGGAGGAACGTGAAATTGCCTCCCTACAAGCACAGCTCACTAAAGTGCAACTTAAAGACATGTTAGATAAAGTTAACAGTAGTAACACTTCTGTTAATCAGATGGTTTCATCAGGACCTCCACAGCAGGGTGCAAATCCATCTGCTTTTGTGCAGAATGTCCAGACACCTGCACCTGCATACACACACACCTGCCCATGTGCTTCTCAGTGCAGGCCTGGTGGCTCAAAGTTCCGTAGCAGAGCACGAGCACGTGGTCAAGGTTTCAGACAAAACAGGAGAAATTTTGCTAGAGGTGACGTGTAATATTTGTAACCAAAGAGGACATTGGGCACGCAACTGCCCACTTCCTTATCAGCAGCAGACTCAGCAGCAAACTCAGCAGACGCAAGGTCAAACAGGGACCTATCCTGCTCAGCAGACTAACGTGCTGCCACATACACATACACCTTCATTTCAGGTGCCTGGCGCAAATCAGATGCCCCAGCAATAGGGCGACCGAAAAGCTATGACAGGTGACCTCCTGAGCCAGAACAACATGTTTCTTGAGTCTCTAGTCTGTGTGACCATCAATGGACGAGAGTATTTGTGCTTGATTGACTCAGGAGCCCGGTACTCCACTTTAAACGCGCCACTCCCACGTTCAAGGC